TTTATCCAAGATTAAGAGATAAGTTTTTTAAACTTTTTGCTTTAAGGTGTAAGATAAAAATATCTTTTTAATAGTAATTGTTATTGAAAAATAAATTTTAATATTTAATTATTTAATTATTTAATTAAATTAATATATAATTTTAATGATAAAATTAATATTATTTTTTATATTAATTAGCATAAAAAAATATATTAATTATATTTTTAATCTATATTCTAAAAACACAAATTAAATAAATTCTTAAAGGATATTTATACGTCATTGTCAAATTTGGAATCAATCACAACAAAGTTGAACTTGATTTCTTACCAAAATTCTAATACCTTTATGTTTCCAATACTTGTATACTTTTTGATAACTTTTACATGTAGGTCAGATAAAGAAAAAGACAAAAAAAAGGGAAATCATACAAAGATGATTGGAAGGAAAAATGAGTCACTGGTTATCACGGATGCAATAATCAAAAAGAATAACTTGACAAATTTCTTAGATGTGAATTGGTAAACGAACATTACTATTTCAGAGCTGGGTTGGTAGAGTTTTTTGGAATTTTTATTTTTTTAATATTGTTTAGAGTTATAAATTTAAATTTTTATTAAAAAAAATTTTAAAATTATTTTTAAAAATAATAAGAAGTGAGTAAGAAAAAAAATTATAAAAAATAAAATATTAAAATTTTTCAAAATTTATCATTTAAGGTCTTTTTAATATTAAAAAAATTAAAAAATATAAAATTTTAAAAAAAAATTTTAAATTTATAAAATATAAATAATGTTAACAAATTAAAGTACTTACAAATTACACCAAACATACTTTTAATCTAATTGATTGTTGACATGATGCTTTGCCTAATTTCTTACCACATCTGCAAATTTTTTTTTTTGAATGGTTTTGTCATCGGGCGGGTTCGAAATCCGCCCAAAGGAAGGGAATGTGCACTTTTCAGTGGCTCTAGTCACTGGGCCACATGGCCAAGTGCCTTACCACATCTGCAATTACCAAAAAAAAAAAAAGAAAAAACATGGAGGAAAGGGACTGGGGCATGTCGTCACGAAAATTAGTAGTTATCTTTTTCTTTACCGTCAAAAAAAAAAAAAAAAAAAAAAAAAAACCCTTAAAAATGCTGAATCATCTATA